AGGAAGTGCCAGAAGTGGAATTTGAACCCAGATTGTTGTGACTATTCACAGCATCATGTTAAGTAGTTGTTGAAGTGAATCATCTTCATCATCATCCTCATAGTTTATCCCAGAAGCATAGATGACCTTTTCGTGTCCTTTTGCCATGTATCCTTTGAGAATTGGTCCCTGTTATATATTAATATTGATTTGTTATGCATCTTGTATATCAGACCTTATCAGAGATTTTTGTCCCATTCAGTAGTTTCTCTTACTCTTGTTCTGTTGATTTCCTTCATGTATAATTTTGTGATATCTATATTAGCCATTTTACCTCTAAATGATAACTTCTCCCCACAGTCCTAGTTGTGAAAGATACTTCCTTCAATTGTCTTTTAACTTTTTTTATTTTTGATACTGCAATGCAGTACTAAGGTCAAGTATCCATTTGAACCATTTTGTGGTATAACACCTTAAGTTCAGTTTATCAAATATTAGGCTTCTGTGTTTGACCCTCTCTCTATCTTGTTTCCCCTCCAATATCAAATAGTTTTCAAGCCTACTGCTTTAAGATAAAGTTTTGAGGTCCCAGTAATACTAGAGCTGTTTCATTCCTACTAATTTTTTTTGTTATTTCTCCTTGAGGTTCTTGACTTTTTTTGTTTTTCAGATGAATTTTGTTATTTTTTTATCTTTTTATCTTTACATTACTCTTTGGGAGTTTTGATATGGTACTAAATATAAGTTAATTTCCCAGTGTCATATAATTTTTACCATAACCCAAACATGGTCAGTGAAAATCTTTCCAATTATTTGTCTATTTCTGTAAAGAGTAGTTTTCACTCGTATTTATGTAAATCTTGAGTTTTTATTAATAGAGTAATTATGAATATATTTTAAGCATTTTATAATTGTTTGAATGAGATCTCTCTCATCTTCCCCAGTTTCTTTCTTATTCTAGGTTTTGTTGGTGATATAAAGGAAGAATGATGACATTTTAGGTCCTGCTACTTTATAAGATTATTGTTTCTATTCTTTTTCAGTATCACTAGAAGTTTTTAAATAAACCATTATATCTACAAATAGTGATAACTTTGCCACTTCAGCTATGCCTATTTCCCTGATGTCCTCTGGTTGTCTTATTATTATAGCTAGCATTTCTAGGACTGTATTACATAATACAAGTAATAATCAACATCATTGCTTTGCCTCTCATCTTTTTGTGAAGACACCTGGTGTTTTGTTTTACTTTTTGAGAAATAATGCCATTGTATATTATGTTAAGGAAAAGCCCTTTAATTACTTAATACTTTTTAGATTTTTAATCATAAATTATTGCTCTATTTAGCCTTAGAAAAGGCTTTTTCAGCATTTATTGATATATAATTTTTATTATTTTTCTTTTTAATATGATCTGTTATTTCTTTCAAAATGTTCAGCTACCCCTGCTTTCCAGTTATAAATCCAACCAGCTCATGATGAATAATTTTTTTGCCATTGTCCAGGTTAGAGGTGATAAATATTTAAGCAGTTGTGGTCCATTTCTGAAGGGAAAGAAGGGGTCAGAGGGAAGAGATGTTGTAGAGAAAGAAATTACAAGAGTCAGCAACTGATTGGATATGTGGATTAATTAAGACATTAAGAATTACTTTAAGGTTGTAAAGTTAGGTACCTTAAAGGATTTTAGTGCCTCCAATAGAAAAAGACAAGATTGCAAGTGGGTTGAATTTGCAGGGAAAGGCAATAAGTTCTATTTTAGACATGTTGAATTTGAACCTAGCTTAAGGGAGAAATTGCCCTGGACACTTACACATATTTTATCTGATAAATGGGGTAGGTAACCTCTGCCTCATCTGTCTAGGCTTCTAACTTCACATACTTTACAAGCTGTTCCTTGTCTGTCAGATCTCTCTTGTATTAAGTAGCTCTAATAAGGCTATTGCTCTAACATTGGGATATGAAGCTTGTCTTCTTAGCCACGTGTTCTTTACATAGTTTCTAATTTTTTTCAGTATCTCCTTGGAAACTACGGCAAGAAATTTAACTACTTTGATGTGTGTTCACACCTTGTGCATATGTTTCTGTTCTTTATTGGAAGAATAGGTCTTAACTATCTCTGACCCTTCCCATTGTAAAGAACTTGTGACCACTCTCCAGATAGTGATGAATCAGCTAATTCTTCCAAGCCAAGATCCCAACAAATCTTATTTTCTTAGCACTCTCTCATATAATTAGTCAACCCTGTGCAGTAAACTTTTTGGGGGAAGTTCTTACAATATTCTCTGTTTTTAAAATGGATATTTCCAGCTAAACTGTTTTTCTGTCAATCAGCTATTTAGGGAAAGGGTAAAATAGGGTAGCAGTTTTGTGAAGGTGTGGAGAAACCAAGGGATTTTAAACAACAATGCATAGCACTTCAAAATTTGCAAGGCACTTTCCTCACAAATGAAAATAACCATGGAGGCAAAATAAAGTGAACAATTGAGCAACTGTTTGACTATGTCAGGCTAAAATAAGATTAACTTTGATTAAATCTGGATGTTATTGGAAAGAAGTGTTAGAGGTTTATGTTAGAGGTGTTAGAGGTGTTTGTTTAGAGGTGAAAGAGATTCTGTTTGGTTTTTGTTCTCCATTACCTGAATGTCTCAGGTTTTCATTTCCCTTTTTATCACCACAAACTCAAAGCAGGTGGTTTTTTGGGAGGGTAGCTTATTAAATAAATTCCATTTAAAAACTAATTTAGCAGGAAGAATTAATGTGTGAAGTTATTTGAGTTTAAATTACAATCTGTGTATAATAACTTTTGCCAATACTATTTATTCTGTTTTTGCTTCAGTTCCTTTTAAAACAGCATTCCTTTGAAAAGCCACTTGCTTTTTTTTTAAGTAGAGTTAAGCTATTTGGAAAATAAAGAAAGTGTGTGTGTGTGTGTGTGTGTGTGTGTGTGTAGCAAACTACTTTAACAAATTCTGTCACAAAAATTGGATTGTAAATTATTATTACAAATTACATATTTTCCCTACTTTTGAGTAAATAAACATTTATTTTCCACCTTACTACTTACCTGTACTTCATCATTGCCTCCAGAATCTCATCTTCCCTCCAGATCACATCAGCTCTGAAACTCACACTTCCGCAGTATCTCATTCGCCTCGGGCCCCTCTCTCCCACTGATTGGAGAGTGTGGAGAGCAGATATCACAGAGAGGCCTCTCAGATGTTCTATTGAAGAAGGGTGCCCATTATAGGCATCTCAGCATTTCCCACCAGGCATCATTCCCCACTCTCTCTGCAATGGGTACCCTCATTTTTTCACTCCTCCCACCTTTTTAAGCTTTAGATATAGATATAGATATAGATATAGATATAGATATAGGTATAGATGTAGATATAGATGTAGTCTTCACCCACTCGACTGTAAGCTCCTTGAGAGCTGAGACTGTCTTTTGCCTTTACTTACCAGCACGTAGCACAGTCCTTAAACATAGTAGATGTTTAGTGAATGTTTATTGACTGATTAATATTGCTTAGGGAGGGGGGAAGCAAGTATTTGTTTTTATCAGAATATGCAGTAATTATTTTGCCAGTCGAATACACTTTAGTGGTATTGTAAATTATAATAATGTGGCTGTATAGTTCGATCTTTCATTTAGTCTTCTTGTATTATGTTCAAATAGTTAGATTACCTGCAGCTGACAAAGTATACCATTTTAATCTTTTGGATCTTCTAATGTAGGAGGATGAGAATTGCTCATCAATTATAGCAATTGTCTCCCTTAAATGAGCTTTACACATCTGCCTCTTATTTCATTAGTTAACTGTCTGCTGAAAGATCTGATAAGATAGAATACTAGAGGCTTTTTATAGCTTGTTCTGTCTCCGTATACAATAAGGATAGGGATGTTAGCAAAGAGGGCACAAGAGTGTATTTATCTGCTACTTGCAATAAAATATACATGGTTTTCTATAGAAGGCATTTGACTCTAACCTCTATTTGTTGAAAACTACTTAGCTCAAATCTTTGGAATCTGACTTTATATTTAGTGCATGACATTTTTTTCTGTTAGCTCTTTTTTTGATGACTTGATTTTCCTTTTACTGCAGGATTTGTTTTGTTTTTTAAAATTTTAAATGACCAGCTTATCAAACCTAATCAGTATCATTTTAAATATGGAAGCTATCAAATAATAATGTTAATTCTTTTCAAAACAGGGAAAATCATTGTTAGCTGCTTCTGAGAGTCCTGATTTTAATAAGCTCTTATAAATATATTCCAACCTATTGACATTTCCAAAACTGCAAATTACAATGAATTTTTAAAAATATGTATATAAACCTTTATGTAATAGTTACCTTTAAATTTGAAAAGTAAATTCATTATGAGTAAGTTGTGTTCAATTCTTCTATGAGGACAGAATAAAGAAGCTACTGCTTGCTAGTGTAATATTAAACTATATTGCTTTTTCCTTCAGAACCTATATTAGATAATAGAAGAATAAGCGATTGAATAAAACATTACTTAAGTATTTTTAAAAGGTTTCATCTGAAATTTGCAATCTTTATAAGCTTTAATGATATCATACTATAGAAATTATATTTTTGTAAGGTCTTTTAAAAAAGAGATTTTGATACTCATTTTGAAACTAAGTGATAAGAAATCTTTGGTCCAGAAAATAGGGCTGTGGTAAATTTTGGCTAAAATAACATTAAAATTTTTTTTTTGTAGCTAGTATACTTTAATAGCATTATGAGAAATATTCAAATGTTGGAAATCTCTTCAAAACTAATCCATCTTGAGATATGTAAATGACTTTTCTACTCTCCCTCATTATACTACTGAATTTTTCAAATTTAGCTAATTTAGTCAATCATTGAATTCCTTATTTTTAAGTAAGGATATAAATTGAGTTTTATGTTATCTATGTGTCAAGATTTTCTTTCTGGAAAATTTAACTTTACTTAAAAATTACAACTTTGGACAATCTAATCATGGTGTTTCCTTTCAAAATTTGCTTGTTGCAGGCCTTGTGTGTATGAAATCCAGCACATCTGTGGTTGAGCTTGTTATGTTGCTTTGTTCCCAGGTAAGCCTTTTGCTTTAATAATTACATGATACTTCATTAAATTCTTTCATGTCTGCTCATGGGGATAGCTTGTTTATTTAATTTTTTCCATTATTTGCTAGAAATGTAGTGTTTACTCTGAGGAAATGTGTATGTGTGCGTACCCATGCAAAGAGAGGGAGAGAGACATGGGTATTTGCATGCATTCTATCACTGAAGAAGTATCTCCCTAGAATATGTAATGTATGCATAGCTATATTACTATGTATATATTCACATGTATGCAATTTTATCTATATTTGTGATACAGTCTTTCATATGCAAATAATTTTATGAAATACTTCTACTTTCATATATACTTTAAAAAGATATATTTCCCCAGAATTTTTATATTGACTTTTTATATCCCATATTTAGTCACATGGAGACTTTAGTGGTGATGGAAACCTTGACCTTTTTACTATAAATGTCTTAAATTAAAAAGTGTAAGAAATATTATTATTTCTTTTATTAAACATTAAATAGTCAATTTATTAAATATCATTTAATAATTATTAAATTAATATTAAAAAACCAAAAATGTCCGGGCATCCATTAATGAATAGTCTGATAAATAAAACTTTAATCTTATTTATATATAAAATAGTTTACACTATAGGCTTTTAGAATGATTTCAGTTAAAAGCAAAAAAGTGAGAGCTTTGTTTCTTTAAGAACATTGTCACTATTTCTCATATTTGTTAATAACCATAATTAAAATAGAATTGGAATCATTAGATATTATCAATAATGCTTGTCATCTCACTTTTTTACAGTTGACAATTACCAGGAATTTTTTTGTTTTGTGGGGTAGAATGGCTTATTATAGGTTTCAACCATAGCTAAAAAGTTAGGCCTTTATTGCTATCTTATTTTACAAATTGCTATCTTATTTTACAAATTTTACAAATTCTTCAGTGACATAATGTCATGTAGACATTAAAATTTCAGATAATAGTTAGAATAATGAAAATATGTATGTTTGAAATAGATTGCATGACTACTAAGTATGATTAAATTATCCAGATTTTATGCTGTGAAAAGTGATATACATCTAAACTGTTCTTGGTAAACTCCCCTGTCTAACTGTATAGCAACCCCCAAAGGAATAAAAATACGAATTTAGTTAATCTTTTTAAACTTACCTGTTGGGTTCCATTCCTTAGATTTCATTTCTTCAAGCCTGTATCCATAAGGAAATGAATAGGTCCAGTTTTCATGTGTGTGGTGTTTTTTTTCTTTTCTGTTAGCCGGAATGAATATTAGTTCGGGAAAAGCTAAAGAAAAATGCATCACAGGCAGGAATCCTCAATGGGGTTCAAACTTCAAACCGTCTCCTGCAGTGTACTTGAAAAATTTGTTACCTAATGGTTAAGTTCTAGGTTCAAGAGAAATTCCAGGAGATCATTTATAGACCTTAAGTTTCATGGTGTGATACATCTTTTAAACAGCTTTTGAAGATTATCGGAAAAGGAATTGCAGTGCCTTCTTCCTTAGCCTTAGCCTTGGGTTTCTCTGCAGTTCAGAAGAATATAGAGGAATGTAAGCATTAGGGTCTAGTGTTTTTGATGGCCTCATCATCTAATCATAGGTTTAACATTACTCATTTGCTGGCTCCATGAATTCCTGCCATTAAGGGCCCTAGAGATGAAACTTTGCCTCAGATATTGATTGAAAGGAAGAGTGAGAAATTTAAGCTCTCTTTGCAGTGTACTTTCTTTAGAGGTTTCAGTGAAACAGGATAACAAATGAATCTGCTAATTTTGCTATTTATGGTGAATATTATAGTTTGTGTGTATATATACACACATATTTATGTGTGTATGTGTGTATGTATGTATTCATATGTCTGTGCTTGCTTAGTTCAGTGTTACTCATTTAAGGGCGAAATGCATGTTCACTGAAGACAATTATTTAGTCCTTCCAAATGTTTTTTTTCCAAATTACAATTTAATACTATTTCCATATAATAGAGCTATTTCCATATGAATAATCATTCTATATTTTAATGGTAAATAAATGTTAAATTTTAGAATTATCAGGTAATAAATTGATTGTTCTAAAGATATTTAAAACATTTCATTTAAGGATAGAAAAAGTCTGAATAATTCCAGGAATGCCCCCCAGATTTCAGTGCCAGTTGCTGTTTTTCACAATTGTTTAATTCTAAAGCCAATTACCAATTTTTGACCACAGCGTTGTCACCATAGCTATACTAGGCCTTTGGCAAAGAAGAAAGAACTTGTTTAATATGGAGATTCTTTAGCAAAACAGTTTCTATGACAGTATAACATGATTCTTTTCTCTTCTAGAGCTGAATATATCATTTCTGCAATATATCTGTTCCCTTCAGGGCTAGCCCATTTCATGCTTTTTTGCCAAGCCAGAATGTCTATCACATCATTACTAATGCATCTTTAAAGCTGGACTTTTCAGAGTTGCATTAATATTTTACTTCCCTAGTCTGATTCTTTAAAAAGACCCTATCAGCTACATATTATGATAGTGTTAATATTAAGAAAAACACTGGGTGATCAACCATCTTGAAGAGCTTACACTATTGCATAGCTAATGATATCTTTTCTATAATATAATTTAATCCTTAGTTAAAATAGCTCTTCAAAGTGAATTATATTTTCTAGTTTAAGTTTGAAATGTGTTTCTTTTAATAGAAAAAGTAAGTGACACCATGGAGACCTTCAAGAAGTAAAATCTCATTTTCGTAGACTGGGTAACTATAGACATTAAAAAAGGGAAGAGAAATGCATCTTTTGTTTTCCTTTAATTTGCTATAGCAAATTAGATGCTGTTATGCTTCTTATGTTGGAAATTCCATGTTAACAGCTACAGATTAGCAAGGATGTCAGATTTTTTTTCTTATCTGAGCTCCTGAATAAACTTACTGTTGCCAACAGCTCCTCCAAAGTATGGTCTAAATTTACATGAGATATCACATTACAAATGTCTGAAGGTACATGTCATGGATAATTCAGTTCATATGGACAGCCTTTTAAACTCTGAAGGCTATGCAATCAAGTCATTTTCCCCAAAGGAATTTTAGGTCTCTGTGGAAAATATAATAAGCTTAAAAAAGGTTCCTATAGGCATAGTATGTCATTTGATGAGGATGGGAGATGGAAAGGGGAGGAGGCTGTGTTTTAATTCTAAACTTGAAACATTATGTTTGGTCTTATGGAGAAACCTCTGGCATTATCTCCATTTTGTAGACAAGAAAACTGAAGCTAAGAGCAGTTAAGTGACTTAGCCCCTGTGTTAGTGCAGACAAGTTACTTAATCACTCTGAGTCATCATTTCTTCTTTTGTTAAATGGGCATAATTCCTGTAGTATGTACCTGACAGGGTTATTGGGATCAAATGAGTTGTCAGTACAATGCGTTTTAAATCTATAAGTGCTATTTAAATGGTAACCATTATCATGATTATAGTCTTATTGTTACAAATGAATACTTTGCTTAAGGAACTGGATTGAAGATATAAAAAATTTACGTTTTTTTCTATTTAGTTCCTTTTTTCCTTCTCATTGTGTACTATGTGATGATCCATTTTTTTTCCCCCTCACAAGTTAGAGTTGCAATAACATAGTGGGGGAGGGAGAAACAGGGGGAAATTGGATTGCCTCTCATCTTAGAAGTAATATATTTTGAAGTAGAATAATTAAGATGTATAGTTGACAAGGTCAGTGTGTGATTAGTTAGTCTTTGTTTCATACAGGGCTCTTTAATGTGTCACATTTTTGATACTGTTTTTAATGGAAAATTTTTTTTAAAAAATATGTGTAATTTGGGGGAGGGGGCTAAAATTTGCTATACTTTCTTCTTAGGGCATTTCCTTCTTTGATATGTAGCAGATTTGGGTTTCATGTAAACTATTTTAAAAGTACTATAATAGTTTCTAATTATTTCCAGATTTTTTTTTAAGGAAGTTCGCCTTTAGAGGTACTCTTAGAGAAATTGAGTGATGTTATCCCATAGGATTCTGTAAGTTTTCATAAGTAAAGCTTTAGCAGATGTCACTTAACATTTTTCTGTGCCATATATGTCAACAAGAAAGGTTTTATGATATGGTAAATGCTACGTAAAAAGTAACATGTGTCAGTACTTAAGTTTTTTAGCTGCTTGAAAACACTGAATATGCAACTAAACATTTAATTATATAAATTCATTAAAACCTAAAAGTAACATAAACTAATGTAGCAATCACCTTAAAGTATAGTAATTTTTAAAAACTGTACATATAGGTTACTAAGCAATTATTTTATGGTTTTCTTTTACTTTATTCTTTCCACAAATAATCTGCATCCTTAAATGAAAAGGACTTTTATAATTCAGCTATCAATTTGATCAAGCCATAACCCTAGATTTTTTAAAAAAGTACTTACGAAAGAACCACAACTGAAGAAAGGGCTGTTTTTTTTTCTTTCCCAACAAAAATCAGATCTTCAACATTTAAAATTTTGGATTATTTTCCCCATGGATATATTATTTACCTTCAGGTGGAGGAGGAAATGAGAATTGTACTTGAGTGTAAGGAATGGTAGGCAGAGGAAAAGATGACTATGCATGCAGTTTACACATTGCTTGTAGATAATTTTTGTGGCAAGAACTCTTGCTCGTAATGTGGTGATTAAAAAGTTTCAAGAGACATAATCTCTGGGTAATATAACCATTTTATTAATAATGCCAACATTTTAATAAAAGCATTGTCATTTGGCTGTCTCTCTCTTAGACCAAAGACCACCATGGCCTGGGCTCACTGCTTTTATGCCCATTGGAAAAGGGTTGTTCCCGAGGGTGGCAACTAACTCTGATTAGTTAAAAATTAATGAGAGAATGAATATTACAGTGAGGCTCTGGACATAAAATTTAATCATGTCATTTACTTCTGAATTGCCCCCTGCCTTGGGCAATCTTTTCGAAGAATTTATTTCCCTCCCCTGCAAACCTGAGTAGAGCACAGTGGCTT